AAAAAACGGACATAGTATATCGATTCAACGACGGTATTTTCCATTGGGGGTTTCACTAAAACACCCAAAATGGGGGCTGAAATTATAAAAAAACCCAACACCCAAAACACTTTATAAACACACCCAAAAACCATCATTACACACACTCAAAACCCATTTATAAACACACCCAAAAAATATACAATTGTTGATTTAGGGGTTGATTTTGGGTGTGTTTCTATGTTTAAATAGTGTGTGGGTTTTTTTATAAATACATGTCTAGGATTGGGTTTATTTATAATAATCTATTTTCCATTTACCGTCGTTGTGCATACAAAAACCACATAAATTAAATCTGAACATTTTCTATTTACCATCTTCTCAAACTCCAGGGCATGATCCATGATGATGTGTCTCATAAAGCGCATGACATAATAGTCACACTCTACATTGCTGGGTTGCTTTGGTGTGCCTTGTAGAGTTTTCCAAATCGGTGCTATACGGCCTTGTCTGCCGGTGTGTGAATTATACATTTTGATAGCATTGTTTCAAGAAAACAAAGTGTTATTGAAAAATATTTTAGGCTACAAACACACATTACAAGCTAGTAAATCAACTTACGTGGTCACTATGTTTTTGCACTCGTCATCAAGCGCTCGATGCCCTTGGTCACACAAGTTCAAATCCCAGGAAAAGCAAACCCCACACAATTGCTTTATTTATGAAGACGTTGGTTTTGGTAGTTCGCATCGTCTAATGGGTGTACTACAACGCCAACCATATAAGTAGCATTGTCCAAAGGGTCCTTTGTGTTTGAAGTGGAATAAGACGACGCCATATAGATAATTAGTGTTGTGGTAAACTTTGTACGACATCAATGTGTACTCAATTACCGACGTGTTGTGATTGTCACGCCCCAACCCACGGGTTTACGTAACCTTAGATTAAGACGTGATTCACACCTTAATTATAGAATTTAATAAAAACTATAACTAAAATGTGAAGAAACATTTCAATAAATAAAGTAAATATTTTACATAGAATATTCGAAATAACAACATCTGAAATCTTGAAATAGTTACATCATTTTACAAGCCAGAACTACTAAAGAGTTTACTACAAGAGTAACTCATTATTTATCCACAAGCTATGTACACAGCACACTTTCATAAATATGCCAAAATCATCACAAGCTTTAGATTTCAGGTTCGGTACCTGCAAAATCTATTAGGGGGTGAGCGAAACCACAGCTAAGTAGGGACATAAACCTTTTTACATGAAATTGATATAATTAAATTAAGTGACAAACAATCACACATCCAAATATCACATTATTAATAATAATGCATGAATGCTCTTCATCTAATCCCGTTAATTCATCTAACTGGACAAGTAGACCTGCACGTCACATACCATGCTTATACCACTTGGTCCCGAATGCCCATTTATATGAACTAACACCCATTTCAACCATCCCATAATTCCCCTTTTGTTAGTCATCTTGTCTAACTCCCTGTCGCCAATCCCGAATCACCCAATAAAAACCATGTGCACTGTGGGATCCCTGAGACCTGGTACCTACCAAGAGTTAGACTCAACTACACAAAAGACTATTTCCATTACCCTCTTTTCCACCATTATTTTCTCAATCCAACAACTCCAACCAATTTCCATGACATGATATAATTATTCCTTTCACATAAACCATGTATTCACAACAATGTAACTATTCAAAATATCACCAATGTACCAACATTGTTCAACCAGTCAAGAACACATAAACATTCCAAGAAAAACATTCAATTATAACAAGAATATTAATTAAATAATCATATCACGCATAATATATTGTTCACAAAATCTAATTAAATCAATCTCTGCAAAAGGCCCCCAAGAAACCCCTACCTTGACAACAATAAAGATATATAATTACTATAATTTAATACTTAAAAAAAAATATTAACATTTTAAGAATAAGGATTCTCACAATCTATCCCCCTTAAAGAAATTTCGCCCTCGAAATTAAAACTTACTGGAACAAGAGAATAATTCCGGGTTTTTACGCATTTCAGTTCCTAATTCCCACATAGCTTCTTCTGTATTCCCATGTAACCACAGAACTTTGACCAATGGTATTGTTTTCGTACGTAAGACTTGTTCCTTGTGATCCAAAATCTATATTGGTCTTTCCTCAAATGACAGTTCTTTGTCTAAATTGAGTTCTCCCCAATCTAGAACATGGGTTGGATCAGGCTCATACCTTCGAAGCATAGAAACATGGAAAACATTGTGTATATTCGAAAGTTGAGGTGGTAATGCTAGCTTATAAGCTACTTCACCAATCTTTTCTAAGATTTCAAATGGTCCAATAAATCTTGGTGCTAATTTTCCAGTTTTTTCCAAATCTTTTTACTCCTCTTCACAGTGATACTTTAAGAAACACATAATCCCCCACATTAAAACTTAATGGTTTCCTTCTTCGGTCAGCGTAGTTCTTTTGTCGACTTTGAGCAGTTAAGAGACATTGCTTGATAAGTTTAACCTTTTCAGTTGTCTCTTGTACCAAATCAGGTCCTAGCGAGACAGTTTCCTCCCACTTCAGTCCAACATACAGGTGACCGACAAGGTCTTCCGTATAGAGCTTCATAAGGTGCCATTTGAATACTAGATTGATAGCTGTTGTTGTAGGCGAATTCTGCAAACACCAAATGATCTTCCCAACTTCCACCAAAATCTAGAATACATGCTCTCAACATGTCCTCTAAAATTTGAATGGTTCTCTCTAACTGTCCATCAGTTTGGGGATGAAAAGCAGTACTAAAATTTAGTTGCGTACCCAATGCTTTCTGTAAACTTCCCCAAAATTTGGAAGTAAACTTAGAATCTCTATCTGAAACAATCAAAATCGGAATCCCATGTAATCTTATTATCTATCGAACATAAAGCTTTCCAAGGCTTTCAGTGGAATCCATTGTTTTGACTAGTAAGAAATGCGCAGATTTGGTCAAACGATCCACTATAACCCATACTGCATCTTGTCCCTTTGAAGACTTAGGTAAACCTGTAACAAAATCCATGGTTATATAATCCCATTTCCATTCTGCTACTGATAATGGCTATAATGGACCTGACGGTTTCTGATGTTCAGTTTTCACCTGCTGACATGTAAGACACTTCGCTACAAATTTTTCTATATCTTTCTTCATGCCACTCCACCAAAAGTTACATCTCAGGTCATGATACATCTTTGTCCCTCCAAGATGAATTGTATAGGACGAATGATGTTCTTCTTTCAAAACTTCCTTTCTCAGATCACAAATTTCTGGTACATACAATCTATTCAAATATCTTAATCCACTGTCAGCATGGACATTCCATCCATCTGGTGTCTTTCCAGTTGTAATCTTAGTTCGAATGTCTTTAGACACAGAGTCAGATTCTTGTGCCTCAATTATCTTTCCAATCAAAGTGGGGTGAGATACTAAATTACATAGATATGCACAATCCTTGTGCATACCTACGTACAAGTCAAAATCATAGAGAGACTCTACCAACTTCCACCTTTGATCATATAGACTGGCTATGATTTCTTGGGGATTTTGACTTAAAGCATCTGCAACCACATTAGCTTTTCCTGGATGATAATGTAAGTCAAAGTCATAATCTTCTAGATATTCCATCCAACGCCTTTGTCTTAAATTTAACTCCTTCTGAGTGAATAAGTACTTCAAACTCTTATGATCCGAGTAGAGTTCAAAATGTTCCCCATATAAATAATGTTTCCATACTTTCAATGCGTGAACAATGGCTGCCAGTTCTAGATCCTGTGTCGGGTAATTCTTCTCATGTGATTTCAATTGACGAGAAGCATAAGCAACAACTCTGTCAGACTGCATCAAAACACATCCTAAACCATGCAATGATGCATCAATATACACTATATAACTTATACCTCTTTCTGGTATAATTAACACAGGAGCTGATGTCAATCGAGTTTTTAACTCGTGAAATGCTTCCTCACATTTATCATCCCAAATAAACTTAACTCCCTTTTGTGTCAACTTGGTCATTGGATTAGCTATCCGAGAAAAATCCTTGATAAATTTTCTATAATAGCCAGCCAAACCAAGAAAACTTCAAATTTCATGAACATTTTTCGGTTGTTTCCAATTCAACACTGCTTCTACTTTTGTAGGATCCACGGCAATGCCTTCTTTTGAAATAACATGTCCTAAAAACTTTACTTCTGTAAACCAAAATTCACACTTACTTAGCTTGGCAAATAACTTGTGCTCTCTCAATGTATGTAGAACAATTGACAAGTGTTGTTCATGTTCTTTTTGAGATGATGAATAAATGAGAATATCATCAATGAACACAATCACAAATTGATCCAAATAAGGTTGAAAAACTCGATTCATTAAGTCCATGAAAACTGCCAGAGCATTTGTCAATCCAAGAGGCATTACTGGGAATTCATAATGTCCATATCGCGTTTGAATCGCAGTTTTTGATACATCTTCTGCTTTTACTCGTAGTTGGTGATAACCAGAGTGAAGATCAATCTTTGAGAAGTATCGGAAACCTTGCAGTTGATCAAACAGGTCATCAATCCTAGGTAATGGGTACTTGTTCTTGATAGTGATTCTATTCAGTTGATGATAGTCAATACACATCCTCAGACTTTGATCACTTTTCTTTACAAAAAGTGTAGGAAAATCCCATGGTGAGGTACTAGGATGAATGAAACCTTTTCTTTCAAGTTCTTGAAGTTGTGTTTTGAGTTCTTTCAACTCTGCTGGTGCCATCCGATGTGGAGGTATAGAGATAGGTGATGTGCCAGGATAGATATCTGTAGAAAATTCCACTTCACGTTCTGGGGGTAATCCTGATAAATCTTCTGGGACAACATCACTGAAATTTTTCACTATAGGAATAAGCTCAAGTTTGGGATCACCCAGATCCTTATTGGCCATATGAGCAATCAATCTCAAATAATTACAATTTTTATTATCCAAGATTTATTCAGGCTTGCAACTATTCCTATTTCCATAAAAACTGAATGTTTTCCCATTGCTGAGAGTCATGTTCACCATCTTTCTACCACAATCAAGAATAGTCTTAAATTGGGTAAGCAAGTCCATCCCCAATATTACATCATACCCCATGAATTCTAATATCATCAGGTCAACAACAAGTTTATGATCTGATATCTCTATTATGCAGTATCTACACAACTTATTAACTTCAACACATTTACCCAATGAAAATCCAATCATTAACGAGGATTTCATAAATTCATATTCTAATCCAAGAATAGAGGCAAAGGACACAAATATGAATGAATTTGTAGCACCGGGGTCAAACAATATTCTAGCCCACGGTTGAAAACTATAAATGTACCTTCCACCACAGTAGGTTCATTCTGCTCCACCACTTGTCCAACAGCATATACTCGTCCTTGAGTGAGTTGTTTTGGTCTTCTTGCTGCTCCTGGCGCCTTAGGCCCTTGTTTTGTAAGTTGTCCTCTTGGGCATTGTGCTTGTTGATTAACAGGACCTCTAAACTGATTATGTGAAGCTTGGTATGGGGCTTGGTACGGAGCACAATACTGTGTTTGTGGAGCTTGAATTTGTTGTTGTGGTGCACGGAACTGTGATTGTGATTGTGGAGCAATAGGTATCTGATATGATTGTAGCTGGGGACAATCCCTCTGGTAATGTCCTATTTGCTGACAATGATAACAAAATCTTGAGTTTCGAGTTACCTCAAATGATCTTGGATTTTGATACCGGGATCGAGAGGGGAAAAATCTTTGGCGTTTGCTACTTTGTCCCCCACTTGGATTCTTAGGTTCAAAAATTCTCTTAGAACTAAGTATCCTTTGTTCCGCCATTAAGGCACGATCAACAACTTCAACATATTTCTTTAACTTAAAAAGTTCCACTTTCTCCTTGACCTCTAGTCTCAACCCTTCTTCAAATTTCTTCGCTTTTGCAGACTCATCAGGAATCATGTAAGGAGCAAAATGCATAAGTTCTTCATACTTAGCTTGATATTGTCCCACAGTCATATCACCTTGATAAAGATTGGTGAACTCACGTACCTTCATGGTTTTCATAGTTTCAGGAAAATATTTTTCCAGAAATATTTTCTCAAAGGCAACCCAAGTTGTAATCTCAACATCAGGCATAGCCAAGACAGATTCCCACCAATGATAAGCTTGTCCTTCCAAATAAGTAGAAGCAATGGTTACTTTCAGGTTTCTAGGAACTCCTTGTTCATTCATCTTTCTCCTTATTTGTCTTAACCACTCTTCTGCTACCATAGGGTTTGGATCACCCTTAAACACAGGTGGCTGTGTCTTACGAAATTCTCCTTGAATCCTCATTATTTGATCATCTTGAGTTTTCTGATGGGGTTCGTGGTTATTTGTCTCAAGAATAGCAGAGGCCATATCCTAAATGGCTAATATTATTCTCATACTATCACTCACATCATTCTCGTTTTGTCCTAATTCCACAAGATTAATATATATATATATATATATATATATATATATATGCTAAATATTAAAATAAGCATACTTGTCACATGCACAATGTAAGACACACAATGACAAACACCAAAAGTGTTGATGCTAACGAAAACTTAGTGTGGATTCAAATAGACTAGTGAATCGAAAAGTCAAGTAAAGTAAATAAATTGATTGAATGCTATACGCATTAGCAGTCAAGTATGAAATGATTAGACTGTATTAAGTAAAATAATAACAAGGACCTTAACACATTCACACTATGAAGTATGAGAATGCTGCATCCTATAATTATGAAAACTCCAAACTATGCTCACAAGATTTTAATAGAATCTAACAAAACTAAAAACTGCCACTAGTCTTCGTAAGTCAAATGTAAACCTATATGATACAGTAAAAAGAATTGCTAGTGTGTAAGCTGATGAGGTGCAAAAATTAGTGCACACAATATACCATAATCAAGATCATAAATATTGGCATGACACAAAAATAATTGTCTGAAGTAATATAGATTATGAAAAATGAAATTGACAATTAATTAATCCATAGCAAATTTTTTTTATTTTTTTTATATATATTTTTTATTTTTTACGTAATTAATCATGCCAATAAAAACCAGAAAAACATATATATAAAACATTTATCAATTATACGAAAAAGAAACATTATAGAAAATCAAACATGCATATTAAACATTTATAAGTTGTTACAAACCTATTTCACAAAATTTAACAAAACAGTCACAAACCTATGTTACAAAGAACTCCCCACTTCAAAACATCCATAAGGCTGCTCACAAAACCTATACATACAAAAATCAGCTTGTTAGATTCACACTATCTATTTTATTAGTCAAACTTTCTATTCATCATCAGAACTAATATCTATAATTCCAACGAGGGGGATAACGGGCTCAGGATATTCATTTTCATTATAAGAACTCATATTGATGATAGTTGGATCAAGATTTTGTGGTTCAGTGATAACCACTGAGGCCACAGACTCAGCAGATAGAGCATCAATGTCCAGAAGTTCCAAAAATGCTTCATCTCCTGGGTATGGGACATGGGGTAAGTTTAACTCATGTGGTTCTGGAATATAAGGTAAGTCTATCCCTGGTGGTGGCCACATATCAACAGCTATAATCACAGCATCTTCTAACACCTGGTTGTAAGAGTGTGCTTCAATATTAAATTGATACTGACTCCTAATATTGTTCACCTGCAACCAACGTCTAACAACCAATCTCTGCATTTCTGGTGTATAAAACATCCTTCTATTCCCTGTATCTATGACTTCATTAACTACATCCACATGAGCTTGGTGGCATAGACGGCTGTGGAATAATTCTTCATCAACAAGGATAAGGTCGTCAGGTCCCATTTGGAACCCTCCCCATGTATCATCGCTGTGATCGGGTTGCATCCTAAACATTAATTTAACAGGTTAGTGAATGACAAAACAATTTAATGAAATCATAAACCTGTGCTCCGATACCAACTTGTCACGCCCCAACCCACGGGTTTATGTAACCTTAGATTAAGACGTGATTCACACCTTAATTATAGAATTAAAAAAAAATCTATAACTAAAATGTGAAGAAACATTTAAATAAATAAAGTAAATATTTCACATAGAATATTCGAAACAACAACATTTGAAATCTTGAAATAGTTACATCATTTTACAAGCCAGAACTACTAAAGAGTTTATTAAAAGAGTAACTCATTATCTATCCACAAGCTATGTACACAATACACTTTCATAAATATGCCAAAATCATCACAAGCTTTAGATTTCAGGTTCGGTACCTGCAAAATCTATTAAGGGGTGAGCGAAACCACAACTCAGTAGGGACATAAACCTTTTTACATGAAATTGATATAATTAAATTAAGTGACAAACAATCGCACATCCAAATATCACATTATTAATAATAATGCATGAATGCTCTTCATCTAATCCCGTTAATTCATATAACTGGACAAGTAGACCTGCACGTCCCATACCATGCTTATACCACTTGGTCCCGAATGCCCATTTATATGAACTAACACCCATTTCAACCATCCCATAATTCCCCCTTTGTTAGTCATCTTGTCTAACTCCCTGTCGCCAGTCCCGAATCACCCAATAAAAACCATGTGCACTGTGGGATCCCTGAGACCTAGTACCTGCCAAGAGTTAGACTCAACTGCACAAAAGACTATTTCCATTACCCTCTTTTCCACCATTATTTTCTCAATCCAACAACTCCAACCAATTTCCATGACATGATATAATTATTCCTTTCACATATCCCATATATTTCACAACAATGTAACCATATTCAAAATATCACCAATGTACCAACATTGTTCAACCAGTCAAGAACACATAAACATTCCAAGAAAAACATTCAATTGTAATAAGAATATTATGAAATAATCATATCACGCATAATATATTGTTCACAAAATCTAATTAAATCAATCTCTGCAAAAGGCCTCCAAGAAACCCCTACCTTGACACCAAACCTTTTGCTAGAATTGTAAGACGACTCCCTAATTACCACCGTATCCACACTCAAATTCTTTCTCTAGTATTTCCCTCCCTTTGACTCTTATGGTTTTCTCATACAAGCCGTGCATTTCAAAATGAAACGATTGCATTCCTATTTATACTAAAGGAATGTCAGCTATATCTTTACTTCTATTGGATGAAGTACTTGGCGGTTTACAAAAGGATAATAACCATCTTATTGTTCAAGTTAAAGATGAAATATCTATATAAAAAAAACTTTATTAAACAATTGCATGCTAGAGGATGTGTCAATTAGAGGAAAGCTTATAGAGGATGTGTCAATTAGAGGAAAGCTTATAGTTCCACCTCCTGCTTACATGACGTAAACAATTTGTAAAGCTATACATCTTTCTTGCTATTCACACAAACAATATAATATGAAGGCACCAAAACTTGCCAACTAACAGAAAACTTCAACGCCACACTTAAATTTGGAGGAGGATAAGAATGCATATATCAAATGAATAATACTTCCAGCTTTATAAATTTTTTGAATAGCTTAACCTATTAGAAATATTTTAATGAAAAGTAAAACACACACATATATATATATATATATAATTACTATAATTTAATACTTAAAAAAAATATTAACATTTTAAGAATAAGGATTCTCACAGTGATATAGAATATAATGCACATCTCTCGCTTTGAATCTCTTGTGGCGACACACATCAAAAATACAACAATGAGGAGCACCTGCCACATGTCATTTCTCATTAATATGATTTTTTTTTTTACTTCTAAAAATTCATAATAAATTCAACAAAGATCCAAAAAATACGTCGAAAACTCATAAGCTTTGAAAAAAAAAATTTGTTTTGGTTTTAAAATTTAAAATGACAACAAAAACTCAAAATTGTTTCTAGACAAACCACAAGAGTACTTATTGTTTTCTAACATAACCCTAAAGTTTGTATTATCCATTGGTTGCCATAAATTCAAATATGTGAAATCCTAATTTTAGCCCTCTAATATAGAAGGCATTGTCGTACTGAGCCTGTAGTATTTTTCAGTTTATTTTTCTGATATTTATGTATATTTTTAATAATTTTTAAAAATAAACAATAGGGTTTAGGGTATATTTAAACAATGCTGGTTTCCTTTTTTTGGGTCAATTATGCCCTTGGTCACACACGTTTGAATCCCAGGAAAAGCAAACCTCACACAATCGCTTTATTTATTAAGACGTCTGTTATGGTATTTTGCATCGTCTAACGGGTTTACTACGGCGCCATCCATATAAGTACCGACATGTTAGTGTTTATCTTTAAACAACAGTATGTATCGCTGCCATCGTTGTTTAAAAACGCTAGCCTCCTGAAATAGATTTACCGCGACCTAAAATTTTCAAATTTTGCCCTCCCTCGAAAACATTTAGCTCTCCCTCCTTAACTCAAATCCTAATCTAAAACATTTCGCTCTCCCTCATTCCTCTAAAAAATTTAGCTGTGCCTCTCAAACTATTCATGATATTCTCTGAGCTCTGGCTACCTATAAGTACAAACCCTAATCTCACATCCTTGTTATTAAACTTGAAATCAATTAATGATATTGAGCTATGGGTTCTTAATATATATATATTGATCTCTTTCGTTTGTTTTGGGAGCTATGGGTTCTTGGAATGGGAATGGATTTAATGTTTGCATGCTTTTCATAACTACTCTCTGTTATGGAATTTGGAATGGATCTCTTTTGTTTGTTTGGGGAGCTATGGGTTCTTAGAAATGGATTGAGAATGGGTGATTTATTTTATGGGTTTTGGTAGCATAAGAAGACGGTCATTCGAAAATACCGTTGTCTGTATTACCATAATACGACAGTCGTTCTGTAACTACCGTCGTTTGAAATTTGTTTTAACACTACTACAAAAAAGGCAAAAGACGAGGGGAATTAACCGTCGTGTATCCGGTTTTCAAACCGTCGTGAAATCGACTGACATCTTTTACAGAAGCAAACCATGACGGTAAATCCCCGTCGTTGTTAAAACCAACAACGTCATTAACAAATTAACAACAGACGTCTGTATATTGAAAAATGAGCCCAAAAAATTGTCAAGGATAAGAATAGACGACCAATTTTAACAAACAAATGTCATTTAAAAATCAACACATGACGTATTTGTTAGAAATGTGCCCTAAGAGCCAATACATTTGATGTAATCTCCTTAGAATACATTTCGTATATGATAAATAAAGGGCAATATTATTTTGTTATCTTTTATGTCGTGCAAAGAAACAAAAGTCCAGGGTGTACTAAATAAGAGATAAAGTAATCTAAAGAAGTTTAGATTCGGGAGACCTTTAATCTCTAACTGTAGTATCCCAAAATGTTCCTAATCATAAGGTTATCAAATGGGC